TGTCCCTTTGGCACTTAGATTAGACATCACAATTTTCTAAGTAGTCGTTAAAGTAGATTAAAAGGCGTAAAAGTAATTTAATAGTGCGTTGTTTAAATTTTATTAGTTTTTTCCAATTAGCATATTCCAATCGTGTAAACAATGAACGATCAAGTACGTGCTCCTGCAAAACTATTGGTCAAAACGGGTTGAAGAGCAATCCTCGCCCGACCGGCATATAGAATCGGATTTTACTTCGTACAATAGTTTTCGTTTCATAATTTTAATTTTGTGTTGTTTTATGTTGTTTTTGGAATAATTAAAGATGCCTAGCACCGATTTAGATGATGAAGGGGTTGAATAAGAAAAAAGAGTATAAACATACTGTATTTCGTATAGAATTTTGTAATTTTTTAATAGTCTCTGTTTTAACTTTTCTAAATGAGTTCCTGTTCATGTCTACTTTATCTACTTTTATATTTACGCCATGACTGCGTGCAATTGTTTCCTTCGTTGGAATATATAAGGTGATCGTAGTTTATTCCCCTTAAACAGCTTAAAAAAATAGTAACAAGTGCGTTTTATTGAGCACTTAAGAGATTAGTATTTTGTAGGTACATAAAAAAGGGACTACCTATTCTAAAAAAATAACATCCTTAATTCACATGAGTGCGCAGGAAAAGTAGGGTGGGGGGAGGGGCAATGGCTACTGCGATGCCACTTACTTCCATTTGCACAACGATTGATCAAAATTACATAGATGTGTCGAAGTAAAAGTTTGTGCAAAATTTGAACTGAATATATTAGTTACTACTATTTTTTTAATTGTAATTTTGACACCCTGTATTTTGAAGACGAAGCGCCTAAATGAAATTTGACATGTGGAAAATTCCATTATTTTCACCCAAAGAATATCTGTTGAGCTTCCTTTTTTTTTATATGAAACTATATCCTTAATACAACCCAATTTTTTTAGATTTCAAAAATATTTACTTATCTAAATATGTTTCGGTGGCTTCCCTGTTATACCTGTAGAAAATGTTTCTGTCCGTATCTGGAACCAAAAATCCTAATGACTCTATTAGTCGAATGTGTTTCTCATGTTACTTGAATCGCTAAAAATGTAAGCCCATTACTTTTAATGATGATTGTGAAATTCATAAAATCCCACTTTATGCCAGTATGCCATAATCAGATATTTATATACTTTCCATGTAGAAACGGAAAAGTCGTCGCTGAATATTCATCAGGCACGCACGTAGGCGAAAAATCTTAAACTATTGCGTAAGAAGTAGACACTAACACAAAATGTCCGTGTCGTATAGTTGTTTATAATCACAGGCTCAGTGCAAAAACGTGCGAAATACAACGGTACGGCGAATGCAGATCAACATAAAAGTACTCTTTTTTATTGTGACATTCAGTTTATATTTAATTTTGCTCTTCTTTTTCTTTCTTTGAATGGTAGCTGTAAATTGTAATGAAAAAATGAAAAAAAAAAATGTTTCTGATATTCTGGTAGCTCTAAAATTATTATACATTGTGGCATGTAGAGTTGAATTTTAGTTTGCTATCCCCGCAAATTAATTGTTTAGATTTTTTGTTTTTGCTGTTAATTTGTTGTTAGAATATAACACTGTGGTTATAATATTGTTTTACCCTTTTTATTATCATAAGTATGTATATCGAAGTATTTTTTGAAGGGTCTCGAAAATATAGTTTGCACGCAACAATTGTTTTTTGTATTAACGTAAAATTGCAGCAAATGATGTAGGTCCCCATTAAAACTCCTCATATCAAGAAAAAAAGCCTTAACGTATCTATGACTATATGACTTTTCCCCATTAATTTTCGTCGCAGAATCTAGTGATAAAATTTGGCCCATTCTTTAACGGACGCCCTGTATAAATTTTCTTCGATAAAGACTTCGGCGGTAAATTTCAATAATCATTTTCTTTAACGTAGATGTATGGCTGAAAACTGAAACTTTAGATTAGTAAGAATGGTATGCCTTTAATGGGAAGTAATGGCCTTATTTTCCACACTCGATACCTTATCGCGTTTTCTGTCGTGGATAGCTACCGAGTTTCTGTTTAAAAATAGTGATAACGTCACGAATACGGTTGAAAACATCCCTATACAGGGTGAGTCAGTAATAATGGTACACAGCTTTTTGGCATATTGTTAACGTCAAAATACAGCGATTGAGCCAAACATGCCTTAATCAATTATTGCTCCTTTTCGTTCTACAGGGTGTTAAAGTTGGAAAAATATTTTCCTTTTTTATCTATATTTTGAGTATGTATGGACCGGTTGTTTTGAAAATTTGTAGTTTTACGTTTTTTGAGGAGGTAAATACGAATATGCAAACAGTGTGGGGTTACGTCTAGAGGGCGCTAGTTATACTGTCCTATCAATGTAAAAATCTGTCTAACTTTTTGTATTTTACAATTTTGAATTTTTTAACTACAAATTCTAAATAAAAAAGGTGTACTAGTTACATATTGATAAACTAAACCGTTTTCGAGATACAGACGTTTTAATTTTTGGAGATTCGGCGGGAATTAAATTAGAAAATTAGCAGGTCTTAAGATACCAAGCCTGAATTAAGAATTAAGATAAACATTACAGCAATTAAAGATTTTATTATGCATATCTTAACAAATTATTAACTACCAGCAACTTCAATGCACTTTCTTAGCCTTTTATTAAGATATTCTCTTCTCTAAAAAATAACGACAAGGAAAAAACTATTTCTTAATCAAATTGGCTAGAAAACAATATGGTATTGTATTGACAGCTGTCAATTTATTATGTCCATGCTTACCACTTTGGAAAAAATAATTTTCTAATTTAATTCCCGTCGAATCTCAAAAACTTAAAATGTCTGTATCTCGAAAACAGTTGAGTTTGTCGTTTTGTAACAAGTTCAACAATTTCTAGTTAAAAAATTCAAAATTGTAAAATATAAAAAGTTAGACATATTTTTACATTGACAGGACAGTACAACTAGTGCCCTCTAGACATGACCCCAACACCATTTGCATATTCGTATTTACCACCTCAAAAAAAGTAAAACTACAAATTTTCAAAAAAATCGGTTTTTTCAACTTTAACACCCTGTAGAACGAAAATGAGTAACTATTGATTAAGGCATATTTGGCTCAATCGCTATATTTTAACGTTAACAATCTGCCATTGAGCTGTGTACCATTATTAATGACTCACCCTGTATAGATAATTCGTAGCAATGTTAGTCATGTTATTTTTAGGCGAATTTGATAACAGGCGCTATTTGTTCTACTACGTCGTCTGAAATAAAATCCCAGTATTGAGATGGTAAATAATATAAAATTACTCTGAAAATGACATGACGCTGTCGGTGTACATTATTCATGTTTTAAATTTTTACAGAAATTTTAGATTTTAATTAATAATTTTCATTTAATTTTTATTTAAGTTAGTGAATTTTTGTGAGAATTAAAATTGCTGCATAGCATTTTTAGATATCCAGAATGTGTGTATGAACTATTTAATAAATAATATTCGTATATCATCATCACAAATAATACTTTAGCTCAGTGATTAATAGAATTCATTATTTTTACACTTTTACAGTTTTGACATAAATCTCGATGTTTACAAACAGCTTCATCTTGAGTAGTGAATGGTGTCATAATACATGATGTTGATCTGGATCATTTAATAAACATAACCTTAATAATTGGAAGTGACCTTGAAGTTTGTCACTCACTATCAGTTACTAAAATTATAAAATTTCTAAATTGCTATCTATGTTGCGTTTGATTTAGAAAACATTCAAAGGAATTTGTTTGCATTCTAACAAAAACAGTAATATAACTATCTGAACAACAAACATGTTCAAATTATCGACGCTCATAGGAAATGCATAAAACCTAGGGGTTAAATGATGCATTTCCGGCTATTTCGATTAGCTATGTATATAGGAGTCAATGGAACCATCGGTATTTGATGAAACGATACAGTCGCGCTCCGATTAGGACAAATTTCATTTTTAAGTGTTTGTTTTATAATGTCAACAACTGTAAAGTAAGTCTTACCAATTTACATACCTACTTGCAACGTTATCGTCCTAGGTCAGTAGTTTTATTGTTGAGTGTTTAAATGTGCCTGTAACCAGGGGATATTTTTGATTTATTGTCGAAAAGATATTTCTTGTCAAAAAATTTTAATAGCATATTTAGGATAGACGAAACAATTTTTAAATATCACATGGAATGTAGGTAGTACTTGAATAACAACTAACCGAAAATTTGATATGAAACCTAAAGAAATTATACCAGCAGCGTCTAGTAAACGGCTAATAATTACCAATTATCTTAAACTAAAATTAAAAATGATACTTAAATATTAATTGGTTTCGAATTTATGATAATAAAATAAACATTGTTTCTGTCGCTCTAAAAATAGCGCATAATTCAGTATTCCAATCTAACTAGTCTTCATTGATGCGCATCGCCGGAAGGTCTGAACAAAACACAAAACGTTTATTTAAATTTTTCCGCATGAACTAGTATGATCACATCATCATCTTCATTTAATTCGTAAGCTACTCTGTGGATTCCACGTGAGATGACCTACTTTTCCCGGTAGTTTCTAACATTAAAGGGTTAATTCCCACTGAACTGAAACAATACACAAACAGCCAATAGTACTAAATGATTTAGTTTCTTGTCCGGCTTGTTCCAAATTCCTTGACCTATAAACACCAAATTTTCTTATAAAATCTTAGTTTTTTTTTCAGTTATTAACGCTATAAAGTTATTATGGGTACTTTAATCCAAACCATTTTTAGTCGTAAGTGTTTTCTTTGCCCCGAATAAGCACGTTCCACTTATTTATAGCAGAATCATCATTGAAAGAAACTTTTCTATCTCAAGAAAAGCGCCGCCTGCCGTGAACATTTACGTCCGCTGCGCCTTTACGGTGTTCCTTTTGGAAAGTGTATCAAATTTTTCTAATTCACACATATCGTGCAGCATGCTGGACCTAGTGAAGAGAGTAAGTATGACGGGCGGCCCCACGTATAGCGCCCGCGTGAATCTTCGGAAGAAAGACAAAAATGTGAAACACTGCGTCGTGATACGGCCAAGGAGTTTGTTGTGCGGAGGGAATTCTGAAGAACTCTACGGGAACAGCATTCAGCAGCAGAGCAACACTTGGAAGTTCCACAGGCCCAAGTCCCTGAGGTATTTATTAATTAGGATAGCATTGCAAACAGATAATACATCGCATTAACAGATAATAGCCAATTTAGATAAGGCGGAAGGGAAATGTAAATTAATCACAGAGGTTTGTTTATACAGAGTGCAACAGGTTTAATTCCCCTTCTCAAAGCAAACAGTAATATATTCCTAGATCAATTGCTAAAGCCTTTTGCTCAGTAGGGTTATTTACCATGTTCTTATTCTTTCAAAATATATACTTAAAATATTTTTTTGGTTTTCGATCGTTAAGTGCAACAGAAGTATAAAGGTATGAAGTTAATTATTTTTTTTCTAAATGTTCCTCCATACCAGAAATCTAGATATGCAAAAGATATCTAACCCCACAGACAGATTTCTGGTGTCGAAGAACATTGTCTTAATTTGATAAGATTTTGTACTAAAAAATCCTTAAGATATTCAATTGAAATTTTACATATTATCATATATCTCATACACACATAAAAATAATTGTTTAATTCAATGCAGTAAAATTTAAACTAAACAAATAATATCTTCCCATATCCGCAATGCAAACATGTATTTGAACAAAGAATATTATTTCTTTAAAATATTTATTTCAATTAAGTAATAAACGCTTCACATGAAAAATATTTATGTATTGAAATAATATAGTACATATTGTTGACTCAAATTTTTCATTAGTTTAGAGAAAACATTTGTAATTTTATTTTAAAAATACTATAAAATTAATATAACATTACATTTGTTCTAACAAAACAAAATATATGTTTGAAAGAAAATTATTGTTTTTTAAATATAAATAAATGGTTTTATTTGATATGAGACTATAACTTTCCTGAATTAAATAAAATAGTTCTTTGGAATAAAAATTTGGAACTTTTTTAGGAAAGATAGGGTAAGGTTAAAATAAATGTATGAGTATGTTTGGATAGAATGTATTTTTTCTTAAATAAACGTATACACAAAACATTACAAATATAAGAAATAATTTTAAGAATTAATGTTCCTTAGCTGTTTATGTATAAAATAACATTCACAAAAATATAAATAATTTTTCCGAGACAGTGTGAAATACGGTAGGTTTAACTGTTCCTAAAGTTTTAATGTCTACCGTTACAAAATTTTCAGAGATCTTCACAGAATAAGCACTATGATGCAAATCATAATTTAAGGTAATTAATAAATAGAAATGAAAACAAATTATTGTATTGTTGTCTTCATTAATAATGATGTTTTCTATTATACCGAAAGAAGGATTAGGATACCTAATAAAACACAAGACTTGATTTTGTAAAAAATACCATTAATTTTTAACCATGGCACGCAAAAACTTGAAGATGAAATTTCTGAATTAGATGGAAGGATGACGTCTCCTTTTATTAAATTTTGAATTGGTCCATATTCAAACGTGTTTGTGATAAAATTCTATACTATAATTTAAGCTGCATCCGCATACAAAGTGAAAAATGTACATTTTTTCTACATGTAATAAGGGTAGCTAAATATTTTAAATCTTTATGTTTTACTTCGTATCTAATGGAGCTAACATGTATTACAAGTCCAATTTTCTTTATTAAATTTAGGTAGTGAAGCAAAAAATTAAATTTAGGCTTTAAATTTTCTTTAAATAGTTCTAAACACATTAGGTAATGGTCTTCAATAAGACATTTTAAAAAATCAATGGATCCATCATTAAAGATAGACAAAAATAACATTTCGGTTATTTCTAATAAAATTAAGTATATAGTATCCATGTTTTATCATTTTCTGGAACTAAATCTCTAACAATTAAATGAAAATTTAAAACTAAGGAAAGCATGAAGATGACAGTAATATAACCATTTCTAATTTGTTCATGCATTCTTAATGTTTGGAGGAATGTTTTTATTTATACATATAAGAGAAGAGTAATACTTAATTCGAGCATTTAGTAATGTAGCTTAATGTAAAATAGTTATTAGATAATAAATTGTTAATAATTTTCGCCATTTCATAACGATGGATTCCTTCGAAAAGGTTATGCATTAAATCACAACTAATATTTTTATATATGTGAAAGTCATCCAGTTCAATGAAAATGCAATTTTCCTTAACACCATAATCAGAAGCAGTTAAATGTTCTAAATAGTCTTGTTCTTGTCTAAGACTACATTACACACTCCTACGATGTACTACACAGTACAGTACACCATGCACAGACTATACACCATACACACTCACACTACACTGCAAGTTATAAAACACATACGAGACGAGTAACTGCGTGTGGTAGAAGTTAAAAGTCTAAATGCCTTTGGCTGTCCCTGAAAGTTAATCCACGCTTTTCGCCGTAGTTTTAAAAATATGATAGTTTTGAATTAAAACAATATACTAAAATCAACTATACCACATCTTTAAATGCAGTTTATCTGAAAATTTAACGATATGATAGTTTTATGTCAATAAATATTATTATTCCTTTGATAAAATAAGTGTCTTAATTTGGATTTATGATTTATTTGTTTTAAATAAGTTTATTTAAATTAAAATAACCAAAATGTAGATGCAACCTTAAAACATGATTGTTTTAAAGAAATTGATTTGTTTTACATTATAATTTACTATGTTTTAATATATTATATTATATGTTTAAATTTAGGATGTATCTTTGATTCTAATACATTTTCTAAACATAAAATAGAATTTTTCCAAATACAAGAGTAATACTGAAATAAAGATATATGATCAAATTAAATAAATATTTCTTCATAAGAAACAATTGCTTTTATAGAAATTTGTAGTTTATTATTAAAGATACGTTTTTATGTGTGTACCGGTACATTTTTATAATTTTGTTTTAAAAAATCCAAACAAGACCACCACGGGAAAGAGGGTTGTAGTTACTACCATTTACCTAGTTACTACCATTTACCAACCCCGCCTCAGTTTTTCCAGTGCACATTAAGGGTTTTTTATAACTGTTGGTTTCTCAAATATTTTTCCTTTATTTTCGTGATTTTGCAACTTCTTGAAATTTTGCTTACCTTGGTCTTCTTTTGGAAAAAAAATGATGTAACTATATTGAAATACCGACTTTGGGAAAAATTTTCGTTAAATGTTCATTAAATTTACTTATTTCAATTAAAATCCAAATTTTAAGTTATATTCTATTAGAACTGGGGAAACGAGACAAAAAGATATTATAGATAATAGAAAATCTAATATGCTGGAAAATTTATAGTTTTTTGCCTTCTGCAATTCGATTTCAGAATTGGCATATTGGAAACACACAGATTTTATGCTAAAACAAAATAAACAAATAAATAAATTCTTAAAAGTAAATTGCAAAGCCAATTTGGCTTTCATACCGGGTGATTTAGAACTTATCGAAAAAAACTTTTGGAATGTATAAGGGACTCTTACAAATACAATTTTGTAAAAAAAACAAAAAGGGCAGTTCGAAAATTATTTAAAAATACACTTCTGCAATGTTGTGTTGCTTCACCATAAATTAAACCGATATCCATCAACTCCGAGTTGTTATACTCGTAACCCATTTTTGACACTTGAAAAACTAATGTAAACACTATCGCAAAAACGTTAACACATACTAAAATCGGATTTCACATTTTAGTATTCGGAATCGCCAGGGACCATGTGGAGAGAGGGTTGAAAATACTACAACTTCAATACTTTTTTCTCTGAAACTATGTTTTTTCAACATTTAAAAAAAAACGATATCCATCAACTTCGACTTGCTATACTCATAACCTATTTTTGACACTTGAAAAAAACTAATGTAAACACTATCGCAAAATTGTTAATAAGTACATATTAAAATCGAATTTCACATGTTAGTATTCGGATTCGCCTGGGGTCACGTGGAGAGAGGGTTGAAAATACTACAACTTCAATAATTTTTTTCTCTGAAACTATGATTTTTCAAAATTTTTAAGGTATACTTATACTCAATGTTTCATGACGTATCTATTCCCAAATATTTTTGGATAAATTGTGTATCACCGTGTATATGAAGTAGAAACACAACCCATTAATCCAGTCGATAGCACATAAGAATGTCTGTAAAGCTTAGTACATCTTTTAAAGACATCAATTCAAGGAAGTTTTAGTTATCTCTTAAACAAAGCTCTAATCAAAATTGTACAAAAGTAAAAAAGTACAAGTAAGAAACGTTTGCTTTAAACCACAAAACATTTGACTCATAGGCGTGCGTGAAAGAAATAGGTGAAACAACTACTAAAATACACCCTTCCCCCGTTAATACGTTCATTTTTTTATCATAATAACACAAAAACTGTGCTTGCACTGGATGACAATTCAAAACATTTCAACTGAATATCTTAAAAAACAAGTTATTAATTTTTTTAAATTATAATTTTGTCACAATGTGATTTGAAAAGAAGACGCCTAAATTAAAATTAAAATTTTTCTAAATACTATTTAATAATTTTTAGTAATTTTGTAATATATTTTATACAAAATTTCACTTGTGGAAACATAATAAAATACTAGATTTCTAATTACATTCACAATCTCAAAAAAGACTAACTAAATATTTCGTCATAGCCAGTTCAGATCGCGTGTCGATTGATTTCTTCCGATAACTTTAACATCAGTAGTCGTTTTACTAAATGAATTCACGCTGCCTGCTACACTTGAATTTTCATCGATCAAATTCACACGCCTTTATCAGTTGCACAGATAAAAAAAACGATATCGTAATCTGATAAATGTGGCGTGGTCCGGAATGAATACTTTTCCCATATTTTAGATACAAAGTGACAGTGTGATGGTGAGTGGAAATGGATATCTTTACTAACGGTATGTCTTTAAAACCAAAATGAAATATACGTGTAATACTCGTTATTCGTCAATGCGTTTATTAAAAAAGGCATCGCTGTACTCTTTCTAGAATATTTACTGTAGCTATTTAAAATGTGCACAGGTTATGAAGATACGGAGACTTGTATTTTATATAAATCATGTTTGTTCATAAATAT